TGTTCGGCGCACCTGCCCTGCCAATTCAGGCGCCTCGACGAAAGGGACTGATTGAGAGTGCAGCTGGTGGCCGACGGTAACAGCCAAGAATTCAGTATCTGTCAGTTCTAGTTGCGCATCGAATCGATGCATCGACGCGCGCAACGCAAAGTCGATGGCTTTCGACAAGCTCTCTGCCGCTCCAACAAGGTTCTGCACGCCGAACTCGTACATCACGGATGCGATGAGAGCATGTATGGCGTCCAGCATAGATCGAACCGCTTGCTGATCAAGAAAGACGCTTGATGTGGGTACCGCGAGCTTTGAGACAGCGGTGCGTGCGGCTGTGATAGTGCCTTCATTGTCTGAACCGCATGTCAGACCGCGGCACACGCGCGATCCGATGGCAGCAGCAGTGTAGGCCGATGCGATGAGCGGGTCTTCCGTCAAGGACGGCGCCAAAGAGAGGCAACGTTGAAGCCGCGCCATAAAAAGGTGCTTGAGCCCTAGGACGGGGCACCACGGTGCTGCTTGTTCGAAGAACGCTTCAATGTCACGAGAGTCGAGAGCTGGAAGAAGCTCGGAAAGCCGACTTGAGGGCGACCGCGCAAAGCCTTGCATCGGCCGTAATGAGGAGACACCGTCGAGTTGCAGAGGCGATGCTGGTGTTTGTGACAATTCACCGATGAGCCACTCGTTGAGCAGATCGGGTGCTGCACTGAATAGCTGCTGACGTTGCCGCTGATCCCCGGCTCTAACGGTGTCCTTTTGCAGCCTCGGCCGGCCTCTCTTGGCTTTTGGCAGCCACTGGCACGCTATGCCTGCCATCTTGCAACCGTGGCAGCGACCTTCGCCTTGGACAGTGACTGGTTCCGCATCCGAGCCTGGGAACTGGTGCAAGAGCGCAGCTGGCGGCTCTCCGTCGCATCTGTGTTTTCCTTGCCGACAGAAAACGCATGCCATGCGCCCGCGCAGAGTCTGTAGGGGAGGCGATTGAGATCGAGGCATGTTGATCCGGAGACGTCGGGCTCGAGTGCGGCGCGGGTCTTGTGGGCTGGTGATCACCAGTCACAGATCAGACACCTGGCCACTTGTGCTTGAGCGAGCGTCAAGCTGCCAAAACGGCAAATCGGTGACCTGCATCTCGCATCCTCTTTCATATTGCGAGCTCAGATAAGCTGGGCCTAGCGCAAAGGCTTATGTATGGTCCCCCAAGCAAGACGCTGGGGGGCTGCAAAGAAGCCGAGCTATGGCCGTATCGCCGCGCAAGCAACTACTCGGCGCGCTGCGACGTGGCGGTGTGGCGCGTGGCGGCGACATGCATGAAATAGCCGCAAAATAACCGCGGGCAGCTGGGCACCCTGCGGGACGTGAGAAAAGGCCCGTGCCGGCATAGACGCACAGCACACGATTCTGCAGAGGTATGCGATGAGGGCGCCAGGAGACGGAACCTTGAGCATCGAATCGCATCTCCCAGGCAAGTCGCGGGCAAGAGAAGCAGGAAACGGCCCGCTACGGCCGTGCATGCTCAGTTGTTCAGTACGACATACGGTATGGCGCGGTGCGGCGGCAGCCTTTCATATATGAGTAATGACCGCATATTAGCCGCGCCACGGCGGGCACCAGTAGCCTGTGAGGAGCAGATGCAAGAAAGGAGCGCCTGCAAGGCTGCGGTCCAAGTATAAAGCGTGGCCGCACGTCAAGCTCTGCGCTCGTTATTCCCCCAAATGGTCGAGACACCGAACAGTGCATACCGATCGATTCCTCCCGGCTAATCACAAGACAAACCTGACAAGATGAGCGTCTCTCAAGAGCTCGAAAAAAACACAGCAAGCGAAGGCGTCACGCTCACCTGGTCTAAAGTGACTTATTCGGTCAAGAGAAAGGGCCAGCGCAAGGAACTGCTGCACGATATTCACGGCCATGTCCACAGCGGTGAGATGCTGGCCATCATGGGACCCTCTGGCGCTGGCAAGTCTACCCTGCTGGACATTCTTGCCGGTCGCAAAGCAAGCACCACTGGAAACATTGCAATCGACAGGGACGGTGGCGTCAAGGAGATCGTCAGAGTCTCTTCGTACGTCGAGCAGGACGACGCCCTTCTCGGCGTCTTGACCGTACGCGAAACCGTCCGATTCTCGGCACTGCTTTCGTGAGTGCGGGCTTCAACATGATCAATGGTGAATCCTAATATGTGATTCTACTTTGCAGACTCATGGAGAGCGGCGCCTCTCGCGCAGAAATAATGCGCACAGCCGACGAGACCATCGAAAGCTTGGGGCTGCAGGGCGTTGCGGACAATCGCGTCGGCACACCGTTACAGCGCGGTATCTCTGGCGGTCAAAAGCGGCGCTTGACCGTTGCAACCAGCGTGGTGGCGCATCCTCGCATTCTCTTCCTCGACGAGCCGGTCTCGGGCCTCGACTCGGCGACTGCTTTCGAGGTCATGTCGGCTATACAACGTGTTGCCAAGGCCAGGAACATCGCTGTCGTTGCGACAATCCACTCGCCTACGTGGGAGACATTCGCCCTCTTCGACTCAGTTCTCCTGCTGGCCGGCGGCGAAACCATGTTTCGCGGGCGGCCGGATGAGGTCGTCCAGTACTTTGGCGAACTCGGCCATTCCTGCCCGTCTCACACGAACCCTGCCGATCACATGATGAGCCTCGTCAATTCCGACTTTACCTCCAAGGATCAAGCACCGGATGGCCTCGTCAAAGGGAACTCGCACGCGTTCGCTGAAGCGTGGCGATTGCATCCTTGGTCGAAGTACGCCTCACCTGAAGTACAATCGAAGCCACCGTCAAGTTCGCGGACGCGAGGGAATGCTCTGTCGCACTTCTTCAAGGCCACGCTCCTTCTCTCGCAGCGCAACCTGCTCAACTACAGCCGCAACCTTTTGGCGTACGGTGTGCGTTTCGCCATGTACATTGGCATGGGCGTGCTTCTGGCGACAGTTTGGGTCAACCTGCCTCAACTGGACAGCAGAATTGTGAGTGAGCTTCGTTCCACATGACAGCAACGACTGACCAAAACTCCAGAACGACCGCCTTAGTGTTCATTTTTTCTCGGTCGCCTTCCTTGGCTTCATGAGCGTTGCAGGCATTCCCGCCTTTCTCGAGGAGCGCTCCGTTTTTCTCCGCGAGCGCAAGAACAACCTGTACGGGCCGGGTCCGTACACCGTCGCACAAACGGTGTGCACACTGCCGTTCCTCTTCGCTTGCGTCCTCATCTTCGCCATCATCAGTTACTGGTCTATCGGGCTTCACTCCGGCGCAAACGAATTCTTTCGCTGGATGGTGTTCGTCTACCTCGGTGTCCTCGCGGCTGAGATGCAGTCCCTCTTGATCGCCGCCATCGTCCCAACCTTTGTCGCAAGTCTCGCTCTCGCTGCATTCCTGAACGGCTTCTGGATGGCGGTGCAAGGCTACTTTATGCGCAATCTTCCGTCTTTCTGGTACAGCTGGGCGCATTGGATCGACTATCAAACGTTCGCTTTCCAGCTCTTGGTGAAATCAGTGAGTCAGCTGGAACCACTCAAGTCGCAGATCCACGATGGTTGACACGGGCTCACGATCTAGGATTTTACCGGGCTCATCTTCCCCTGCGAGGGCAACATTGCAGCGAGTTCATGCCACTGCACATTCTCGAGCTCCCTCATCGCGGCGGGCCAGTGCGCTGTCGACGGATCCGACGTCATCAAAAGTCTCGGCTACGAAGGTGCCAGCTTTGTGTTCTATGCCTTCATCATCGTCATCATCACCGTCTTCTACCGGCTCGCCTTTTACTCTGTCTTGCGTTTGACATAAATGTGGGGTGTGGAATGCCAAAATGTTCTAGTGGGAGGTACATGTTTGTCTGCCGTTGCGGGCGAGCTGAAGCATAAAGATAGGAAGAAATGACTCTAGGAATGCGAGGATAGGTGAAAGGAGAGATGGCCGCCTCAGGTCTTAACATTGCGTTGCTTGGAGCCAGGGTACTTGCTTGTGACCTTTTGAAGCTTGCTTTCGTATGCCTTGCACGTGAGGGAACCGACCCTGTTCCTGGTCATGGCAAAGGAAGGCCAGCAGGTTTGGCTCATCGAGGTAGATGAAGTTATTGCCCTCCGGACCTGCGCGTGACAGAGTGTGAGAGCTTGCTAGGCCATTTGCTGACAGAATTGTATCATTCACCCTGCGTGTTGTTCGCTGCGAGATTTGTTGTTCGTGTACAATAACAAAGAAAGTCTATGCTAATTCAGTTTCACTCACCAGCTAACTCTGCGACGAACCTCTCTGCTGCGATCGTGACGAAGAGGCCACCGAAGGGAGAGTTGAAGAAGAGCGGGTTGCCATCGACGGACTGCCGCCAAAGGATGGCCTTGGGGGCGAGCATCAAGTCGGACGTAAAGACGTCGCGCCCAGGCGTCGCATCGTTGTCTCCCAGCTTGAGCAGCTGCTTGAACAAGTTGAGGTTGTTGTAGTTTGCCCCGGGCTGATAGCAGTCTTGCCGGATGATTGAGGCGTCACTCTCGTAGACGTGGTGTGTATCAGTGCATACGAGCTCTTGGCATTAGGAACGGGCATGACCACGCAGAACAAAAAACTTTACCAATGCCCTGGGGCTCGCTGCCACCCAAAATGCTCTGCAGAGGGCGGAGGATATCCGCAGGCTTGTAGGGGCCGCCGATGGACCAAGTGGTGCCCAGCACGCCGCTGTTGAAGACTGTGATATATCCAGTGAGTGCAATGGCGAGGATGTCTTCAACGTCAAAGACGTGGTTGATAGCGGCGGGTTTAATTAGGGTTCATGCTTGGGTTAGGGACGTTGGATACGAGGAACTTAAGGAGTGTTTGTTGAAGGTTAGAGTTGATGAAGTTAGGCGAACAGAAAGCTAGTTGTAGCTTGTCCCTTATCATCGAATGAGATCAAACACGTTCGAACACGCGACGCGTACCGCATGACGCAGCTTGGTGTTGTGGAACAACGTCAGTTTAACGCCAGCTGACAGTATTAAGACTTGCGCGTGAAGTAGCATATTTGTGGCTAAGGCTGAGTCTTGAGCAGCCGTGGCTTCGAATGTCACTGTCGTGCAGCAACCACGGATCCCTTTGTATTGACCTGAAGGACGATAAACAGAGGAAAACACTGTCACCTCCTTCCTGGTGCTTGAGATGTAGACGTGAAACGTCCTGATGTCTTTTTATAGCCTACCAAGACACCGGCAAGACAAGCTAATTAGGTACTTAGAATTGTAGTCGACACTGTGAGCCTACCCCCACCGTTCTCACACAGCGCCGTTCGGCGATCAATCACTAAATTAACTCTTAGATAAAAGTTTCACAGATATTTCCAAATGAAGGAAATCTACGAGTCGCACAAAGCAAACGGAGCGGCCAAGATAGACCCAACATGATTGTTGACGTTGATACTGTCGGATTTTATCAGTGGCGAGACTTATTGCTCGTGTATTGCTGCTTTTGCGCACTCCTTTCCACCAAACTACCAAAAGAGCGTGAAGATGTGTGTGAAGCCATTGAGACAATGTAAATTGTTCTGTAATCTGCCCACCGCCAGGCTTCACCCCACTCGACTGTGAGGCCAACCGGCTTATCAGACAAATGCTTGTAGACTAGTGCGGAAGCCAGGCGTCGGCGCTCGAGACTCAATAGCATCCACCAGCTGCGTTCGTACACAAGACAGAGGCCTACGCACGCCCTCCTGTCCAGCCCCGGCAGCCTTCTTCACGCGGCATGGGCTGCTCTTCTCGCTCTTCGCCCACCTAAACCAACCTCTGTCACCTTCGGTCACCGCGGGTCCTCAAAACCCGCCGCACATACGCCGTTGCGCCCGCGTTTACGCGTACACGCACTGCTTCTTCAACGCCCGAATTTTGTCCACGTCTTCTGAGGCTGCAATCGGCGGCTACCCCTGGCCCAAGACACGAGACAAGTCTTGTCGAGAGTCTCCTCGGATCACCGGACCATGGGTGATTGCTCCACGAAGGTGACGGTGGTGTCACTGGATCATTGGTGACAGTAAGGCTGCCTGCTGTAGGAGCAGGAACAGAGGCAAGTCTAGTTTGGAGTTTGGGTATAATTAGACAAGGTGGACAGGTCAAGTCAACGTGTCAGTTCTACTGAGTTCCATCGGTTTCCATCGCTCTCTACGGTCTTCCATCCCTCCACTGGCGAAGGTACATGAGTGCCCATTGTCTTCTGTACTTACCAACATACAAGCAAGCATACGAATCCTTCCTTCCTCACACATTCATCTCGTCTATTAGCTGCCGCAATCGCGACAAAGTCATTCATTCATTGATGAAACAATTTGGCCTGAACGCAGGCGGTGTTCACGTATGCACCACTCGGATTCACGCAGTTTTGACACCGGCCCATGATATGCTGAAGGTCGAAATATAATATCAGCAATACTGTTTCGTCGAGCTACGCTGCGATAAGCCGCTCTCATCAGGAGAGGGCAGAGGTGACGGAGCACAATGGTGGTGGCAAAATCGCATTGCAGACGTTAGAGCAGTGACAAACGAGGTTTGCCGCCACGCAGCAGCCCGACATGCATGGTGAGAGCTAAGTCGCCATGACCTGTGCGAGCTTGAAAGAAGTGGCTTAGCAAACCTCTTGGTCAGTTGAGGTACGACGGTGGTTTCAGTAATGTCTGCGGTTGTGTAACGTCATTGTAGCCCGAGTTGCGCGTGCACATGCCAGCTGACTGCCGGCCTGCGTACCCCCCCAGCAGAACAGCAGTTCTTTCATTTTACGCTTGGCTTGGGAGTACGAGCATTCCTACACCCCGAAGGTTCATAGTAAAACTTCTTTGCCAGGGAGTCCACAAGCTCTTTGCCCGCCACTTCCGCATGTCCTGGCACCCCATCCAGGTGGAAAGTGCTGCGTCCATCAGCTTCCAAGCAAGAGCGTGCCTTTTCCTGCAGCTTGAGTAGTGACCACTGGCTGGAGCACGTTGGTGCTGCTAAAATGCACTTGACTATGGCCTGGCTGTCGGAGAAAGCATGAACTGCGTGAATGAAGCCGTATATATGATTATGATGAATTGATTAACGCCGCAGAGATGATGATGATGGGTTGATCAACGTCTTGGAGCAATGAAATCCGGTCATCATAAGGTAGACGGCGTGAGAGCGATTGACTGTGTGGACATAAGGCCCGTTGAATTGTTGTGCAGCTGCAGAGCGAGAACGACGCCACAACCACACCTATGAACGAGCAAAGACGGCTCATCGCATGACAGCTGCACCAAACCTTAACTTCGGAAAACCCAGTGGGAAACTGTTGAGGGAGGAAGCGTTGCTGTGAATATCAACAGTGCGCTAGTTAAGCATGCGCCGAGCCGCGTGGCTCATGGAGAAGAGGAATGGAGAGATGACGCCTCGTCAACTTACGATGACGGCGTTGAGTCTGAGTCGCTGCCTGTTGCTGTTTGGCGGCGAAGATACACGTCCGAACGAGGGACGAACGCAAAAAACGTGCTTGGGCGCTGCAGACCCTCCTGTGGATTTAGTATTTGGTCGTCCTTATCTATGAGAAGACGGTGGAAAGGGGGCGAAATGCTCGCAGCACAATGGATGCAGGCGATGCATCTCCTCGCAGAACTCTCATTCGGGCTACCGGTCCTTGCGATGCCTCCGGCGGTGGTAGGCTGCAAAGTCGCCGCGTCCTGTCTTGGCGGCCAGGTAGCAGCCGCGTACGCCGCGTGGCCAGGCGAGGTAGGCGTGTGGTCGACGCGAGTGCACTAGTACGTCTGCCATGCCGTCCTCGGACTCTCGCAAGTGCAGCTCATCGTCCTGTTGCTCGGCATGAGCCTGCCATGCCCTCAGCAGCCTGGCCCGCGCCAGGTGGCGCGTGTGTGACGTGGAAGGCTTGCGTTACGTTTTGAAAGGAAGGTCGCATCCTGCACAAACCGGTGCGCCGGCCAGGGTGTCGTCTACAACCTCGCAATAGCCCGGGACCATGTGCAGCCCCTAGAAATTAAGCGGCATCTCCCCAAGCCACTTCCTGACCTGCTTCTACAACTAGCGCAACGTAGTCTGGCTTGACGTGTGCGAGCTCGCCGAAGCCGATGCGACGAACGCCTGGTTATCGCTGAACGCCCAGATCTGAGACACAGCCTGAATACCAGTTTGCAATACAACGGCCTCGGCGTCGTAGACTTCGCAAGACGCCGGCGGGCCCGACCTGATGCTTCCCTGTGTGATGCATAGTAAACTCGACACCCCGCGCTCAATTACGCTGCTTATCATCCATGCCGAGATATGCCAAGCAGACCGGGCACCATGTAATGCTCTAGCCAGAGTGGTTGAACTGTTGACAATGGCACTGGATCTAGCCTTTAGTCGTCTGGCGTCAAGGTGGCGCATTGAATGTGGCGATGACGCGAGTGAGGAGGCAGTAAGAGTTCTTCGCAGAAAATCGAGGAAGTCTGGATGTGCTGTGCTGTTGTCGTTGAATTTCTGACGGGCGCAAGTCATTTCGTGAGGTGCTAGGTAGGGCCATGGTATCGCTTCCTCAGTATCCATCGAAACAAGTCAAGCCATGGTTCTATCAGATAAACCTACCCTCAGTACAATATCGAGCAGCTACTTCACGATCACACAATACTTTGCGAGACTGACTACAACAGCGGCACTTCGAGCACTCAGAGACAATGGAAGCGTCAGCTTGGCCTGCCATCGACAAAAAGAAAGGACGTCTATCAGGCGTGGCGAGCGCCAACGATTCACGAGCCAGTCGAACATTGCTGACTCAGCAGGATTGAATGCTCTGTTCCCTCTGGACAAAGAAATAAAAAGATGCACGCTGTCTTCGCATTGTCTGCCTACCTGCCTTGGTCCAGTCGATCACAGCCACCTTCTTGCATCCACAAAGCGTGTTGGACGAGCAGCATTTATCTTCCGTACGCACCTTGGTGAAAAAAAGGACAGACGACTTCGGTAAGTAATGAGCGCAAGCTATCCCATGCCTGCCGTCTTCATTTCCACGACAAAGCAGTGGGGACGTTCGATTCTCCTCAGTATGCAAATACTAGGACAGATTACTCTGCTGCCAGTCAGGCCGACAACAGAACTGCAATGCACATTTTCTAGTAATTATTGGAACATTCGTTCAATCAGTACAGCTTCTCAAATCTCCTGGTCGACAGTCAAATATTGACTGATTGAGGGGTGGAACTTGCTGATGGACAGGGCTTCTGTCGAGTTGTTGTCGAGCTTCCCTGGTGCAATCGGCCAGCTATGCAAAGCGATTCAACGTGTACTTTAGACGAGGTAGCGAGGCAGTCGCCTAAACAGAGGCAAGAGATACGAGTTGGCACAAGTCGATGTAATCAGGAGAGAGAAGGAAACTCTGGTTGAGAGAGTAAGCGTGAGACGCAGCAGAAGGTGCCCGTGTAGAGTCTTGGCTCACACGCGCAGAATCAGAAGCCATAGCTGATCTCAGCTCAAATCGTTACTGCCCGCTTGCCAGTACGTCTGCTGTCAAAAGCCAGCGGAGAAGCCGCGAAAGTACTTTTGCGCGCACTGACGATAGTGAAATAGGAGGAGGTCTTTGTGAGGACGATGTTCAGGTCCATAGCTGAAACGATCTGCAGTTAGAACCTTTCCGTGATATTTTCGCTCCTCTGGTTCGGGGAAGAGGAAGTGAACTATGTAGTCGTCACCCTGAAGGAGCAAGGGAAGGCACGGCTTCAGCGTTTCTCCCAATTAGTAGCAGCCGCGCGCACCCTAACCTGAGGCCAGAGTGCCCATTCACCGCGATCGAAAGCCCGATGTAAATCGTCTCGGACCAAAATACCATACTGTGGTTCGAATGGCCAGAGTGTTTGCATCTCTGAAGGACTTAAAATTTCTGCATAGTACTGTCAAGAATAATTTCCGCATTAGCTGACTCGCCTCTCGCACCGCCAATCATAGACCCAGACAAACCTCGGGACGACTTTGAGGTATGATATGCGCTGCTGTGCACAGCCTCCAGTGTGCGTCTGTCAGGAGACACTTAGTGTCGCGAGCGATGAGCTCAATTCTGAATGAAGACTGAAGATGTAGCAGAATTCAGTGAACCATTGTCAGAATAAAGGCAGGTAACGACGACTAACCTGGTTGGCTGTGGATCGACTTGAGTTGCTCATTGTGCTCGTCTCACCGTCTGGCGGCGGAGGACGCCTGGACTGCTTGAAGCGTGGACCCTTGTGGAATGTGCAAGAAACGGCACCTCCTCCTGAGGACATGTGAAAGCATATCGTCAGGCCTGCGTGCACAACACACCGATGATCCGTGCTAGACCTTCTCTTACCTGTGGTTTGCCAGGTAAATGTCTCATCACTCCGCAACTGCTCCATGTCGACTAAGTCACGGGAATTGCTATCAACAAGCTTGCCCTCTTCAACTACACACATGCGTACAATGTCAGCTAGGAGTGCGCATGGATCTGACACTGCAGCTCCAAGTAGAAAGTCGACGGGCACGATGCAGAGCTGCTGACCAGTGCCATCCTGTACGACGTGCGATAAGCCTTTCCACAGAGAAGAGGCCTTGCGATACGTTTGGATGTGCTGAGCTGTTGCCGTTTCTGTGGTCATGATGATGATGATGATGAGGATTATGGTGATGGTGACGATGATGATGGTGACGATGGTGATGAATTATAGGTTTCCTCACCGCGCATGGATGGCTGTTGAACCTCTGCTTTCCCAAAGACAGCGCGCGCGCAGAGACGTTGATTATACGTACATTGCGTGCACCTGATCTACGATCACCATGGATCCATACCACTCATCGCTAGAGATCTGATTCTGTAGCGAGCACGAGCATTCTTTGCTTGGAACGAACTCATTCGTCCGCCAGGACCCACACGTCATGCAGACTGATGCCGCGTGTCGGCTGCCAGCGTTCCTTTTCAGCGATAGTTCAGCAAGATGCACATTCTCACATACGACACAAGGCCCATGGATACGCTGACACGCGCTGAGTGCCACAGCAGGTAAGCTAGGCTTACAACGGGCTCAAAGACGCTTGAGCTTCTGACAACAGATGCGATGCTCAAGTCGAGAGGTTTCACACTGCCATAACTGCTTCGCAAGGTTGAGAAGGACAGTGTCTGTACCGTCACAAGTGCAATCTTTCCCTTCTTAATTGCTTTGAAAGCGCACATCTGTGATCTCCGCCGAGTGCAGCTGCGTTTAGATTAACTCAAGCGAATATGCTGCTCCATGATGCTATGAAAAGTTCTCATTGTGTGTCGTTTTACTACTCCGAGAGCCTTAGGTCCAATGGAAGCGGAGCGAGGGACGGCAAAGATGCACTGCCGGGGAGAGGCAGAGAGCTACGCAGCGCGCGCGTGCATTCATGTACGCAGTTGCAGAATCTCATCCCCATCATTAGCATCGGCCACCGGCACCAGTGCATCCTCATGTCAGCCACCAGTATGCAAGTACAGCGTTACCCACTCGCACAGTCCAAGTGGCCAGGATCGATAGCCATCGCGGTGTACGACCAGAGCGATCAGCGACTTTGCACATTTCCGCGCGACCTCTCCTTCGTTCATCGGTCGACCCATTGGCGCAGCTAAGCTGCATGGCGCGAATGCGCGTGGAGCAAGATAGCAGCTTGGTCGAACATGACCTTGAGGCCGTAGTAGAATTGAGAAGCTCTGCCAATCTACGATTGACCTGGATGCGCGCAGCTGAATGGTCACAAAAGATGCGGCGCTGTGCTAGCACCCACACCTCATCACGCACATGCTTAGATGCAGCGGTGACACCGTACACATTTGCGAAAGGACCCAGATTCAGGTGTGCCAGGCGACCTCTGCCGGCAGCGCAAGCAAGTGAAAGTACAATGAGCAACTTAAAGTGATCAACCGCTAATCAGGTGCGTCATTCTTCTGCACGTCATGCGGCGACGAGATTGCACTGATTCACTGTTCTGTAGGCGGAGTTCAGGATATCCCTTATTGGAAGAGACTACACATGCTTGCTCATGGACGAAATCTATGCCCGCTGTACGGCGGTGCACATTCTACCCCAGAGCCGTCCCGAGGTAAGCGGCGGGGGAAGCCGAGCAAAAGCATATTACAGCCACCGACGTGCATGCGCATTCGGTACCACGAAGAGGTTCTCGGCTTCCCGGAGGGGTTTCCCTTCAGTCCACAGTACGGATTCTTGGTTGCCGATACCTTGCACCACCCGTTCGATCGTGGAGAGTGGGCTCTCTGGCCAGACGTGAGTCGCCAGCGCCTATCGCGCCAGTGTATGTCGGACTCGCACTGACTCAGATCCGTCTCACCTTTACTCAGGGTGAAAATCTTGTTGTTCGCTTCTTCTATCCTTCCAAAGCGCTCGATCGCTCATATCACGGTAAACTCATTGCGCTGTTACGCTTCCGTGGGGCTCCCGAGGGTCGCCCGAACAGGAAAATGCTGCTCTTTCACTATCAACAGTGCGTACGCAAATACGTGCGTGGCTTTTCGGCAGGATTCTGAGGTCAGTGCGACGTGAGGCCCAAGAAAAACATTGCGCAGGTACAAGTGACAGGTGTAGGTGGACTCAGCATCGTGGGGGAAACGGTGTTGGTGGGTGAGACTGTGGCTATACGAACCCACGTCTTCAGCCCAATTGTTTCATTTGATCGGGCATAATGCAATACACGCATTACAAGTGTATCAGCCAGTAAAAGCGGGCGTGAGTAGCAAGTGGCTTTGCAAGGAAGGCAAATTAGGATGTTGAATGTAAGTGAATAAGTCTGAAGAGCTGCAAGGAGCAGGCCTTGAAGGCGAAAGCAAGTTCAGTGACTAGTTTGACGTTGCAGTTATTGAGTAACCTGATTGTAAGGATACAGAGAGAAAGAGGAAGACAGGATGATGATGATGAACCCAGGGTGCGGCAGCCTGTTAGATCAGCCTTCAGTGTAAGGCTGTCCACCCGAGCCCCATTCTTGGCAGGGTCGCAGAGGAAGTTGACACCATGTCGAAGCAAAGTGGGCGTCAATTCAGTCTACGCACCAGATCACGCGCGAAGCATGGTCTGGAAATCAATAAGTTGTTAATGTCGGAAGGTATTCCTCCACTTGACATCAAGACCTCCCTCTCAACCATTTTTGAGCGTTCATGACCACATAATATCGAACGTACTCGAGTCCCATACTACCACCATTTATAAGTGTAGCCCTCTCTCTGTTTCAAGATGCTTTCGCAAAGTTTCCCCCATGCTTGTGCGCTCCGTGCTCACAGCGGGCAATGTGCTAGCGACTTTGACCCATAAACATGCCTGCTTTTTTAGCACCATCTACGAACTACCGTTCCACTCATCAATGTCACCGGAACAAAAGGTCTGAAACCAGGAAAATTACGTCTTTCAGAATTTCTAGAGAGGTACGCCCCGCGTCTCCTTTGTCCCACAGTCGTCACTAGCTCCTCGACTACGTGTCCAGAGAGAGCTTCCTGAATGCCTATGAGGCGCTGGATGTAAGCGCAGACCTGCCTGATCTCTTGCCTGCCTCAACCACTCAAGGCAATGCTCGAGAAGAGGTGCACTGGAATGGTGCGGTTGCATAAGAAGATGAGTGTTGCGCAGGCAATAGGAGCGTCCGCCTTTCGTGTCGTTGAGATGAAAACGATCGAACGTAGATGAATGGGTTCTGACGCTGTAGATGCCGCCGTCAGCTTTGTGCATCGGAACGTACTGGTCAACTGGAGGCTGATCTCAAAGAAGCGCCAATATCACAGAGTCGGACCACAAAGGCAGACCGGGTTCCAGCCGACAGTTCTTCGCGCCTGCCCAAGGGATACAGGAAACAAGTGTTGGCCATTGCCTTACATCGGACGTACACTGTTGTTACTTCTGCATGCGAGATTTGTGGTGTCGATGTGTGGGATTGGAAGAGCGTAGAGAAGGGGACTACGCTCAAGGGACAAATGTAGAGCGTCCAGGATATCGATCTTAATCCAAAGGAACACTGGTCGGGTGAGCATTGACTGTGCAAGAGCCACAGGGAGGTACCTGTTCAGCAGCTATTGCAGACTCGCCTGCCATACTGCGGCATCTTGCTTGGTAGACACACAGATCAAGCTGTAGAACTCGCAGAATCATTGGAAGAACATCAAAATACTGGGGGGGTCATGAGCACGTTGTCAATGCAGCGCGGTTCTTGCCAGGTAGCGTTTCGCACCGGTATTGCTTCTGTGATTGAACTTCTGTGTGATACACCATTCTTAATCAGCTGCGCATGCTGGTTGATCATCAAATAGGTGCAGGTCTCGTCAGGAATACTCAAATACAGAGGTATTGTGATTGGGTTGGCTCAGACAGCACCTTACAGAAAGAATGTTTCGCGAGTCTTTGTGTCAAGGTTCACGAGGAGTGGGTGACCTTGAAATTGCGCTCGTTGTGGCTGTGATCGCTGTGATCGCTGCGCTCCGGACGCTCACCCTGCACTCGGGTTTGGCTCTTCGAGAGACTACTGCGTCACATATCTGTCACATTTGCTCGAAGTAATAAGCAGCTTACGTATGCACTTGCATTGCTACTTTACTCGGATGCATTAAGTCAGGCGGTGGTTGGGAATGTGTTGTAAGAGTTGCTCTTTGGCCAAGGACGGGTGCTGGAAACATGCAAGCATTCGGCGACCAGCAAACAGGTTTGTTGATGGACACCGACGAGTCAGGTACAAAAAAAGCACGTGATTGCCCAAAATTGCTATTTGTGCGACCATCATGCGAACTAACCATGTGACTTGGCAAGATATCAATCACGTCTACGTCAAAGACGACGGAAGGGTTTGATTTCTGCACATTTCCATCACCTTCGTAGGGGCTGTAGCGTTGCACGAGTAGCTCCCCGCTCTCTTAAGGGCACACGTGCAAACGCTCGCAGCGGCAACAAAGCGATCGCTGTACGCACACTGGCAGAACCTGTGTTGGTCGGATGGCACTCGACCAGTACTGAAAAGCGCTCCGTCCGCAACAACCTAACTTGGCCTCTTGGAGACGAGCCCACGGCATCTTGGGCTCCAGATGCAACCGGTCACGTACATTCGAGCAAGCGAATCTTGGGGCGGACAGAAGTTCAAAGCTATTGACAAGTCCGGTCAAGTGCTGGTGTCCATTCCAATCCAATTTGCGAGGGATGGCGGGTGCAATACAATTGGCTTTGTGCTATCTCAGGTAGCATTTTGCTGGGAGCAGGATGGGTTTCTTCAGTCCGAGACAGGGCAGCGGTTAGAAGCTGAGGCTCCACTATTCGACGGCACTGCTATCTTTGTTCGTGAAGATGGGAGCACGGACGCCTGCACTCCTCGGAAAGGTCCGCGCTTCAAATACAAATACCGCGCACCAACAGAGAATTCAAATGCGGGCACCATGAGCAACTCTAGCCGCTCTTCTGACCTTCAAAGCCGATTCAGGGTTGCGCTCATTGCGCGTGATACATTCTGTCTTCTGTCTGGAGCTGATTACGAAGATTGCGTTGCAAGCCACATTCTTCCGTTAAGCAGGCCAGAGGTGAGTTCGATTGGACTTACCCGACGGTATCTTACAGGACTCAAGTGCGCTCACACAATCCCTTCCCCTAATTTCAGTACTACGCCGAAGTATTGGGAGAGGACGTGCAATACCTTTTCAAGGCCGAGTACGGCCTTTTGCTTCGCAGCGATCTACATCACTCATTTGACCGGGGCGAATGGGCACTTCACATCGATGGAGACAACTTAGTGGTTCATGTCTTCAAAGGAAGAGGCTCCGCTAAACCATATCATGGTCAAATTATCACTCCGGCAAGGTTTCACCTCCGCCCAGAATCTCACCCCAACCGGGATGCCCTGATGTTCCACTACCAGCAATGTAGCATTCAACGATTCCGAGGCTTTTCCTCTGGCTTCGATTAAAGTAATCGTTTGGATTTCTCATGCGAAGAATACACAACTGGCCTGCAATGCCAGCCAGTTCGTTCCAATATGAGCGCCTTCATGCTTGCTCGTCGTTCGCAAAGGCTAGCAATTGTAGTGGAGGAAAAGTAAGGTCAGCGCGGCGAAGCATCCCAGAGCGAGCGCCCTTCGGAAGCAGTGGAGTCTGTCTTCTAACGATATATAGGCGGTACATAATGGGTGGATTGATTGTGCGTGGCCAATGACATGGAACAAGGCTCTTTGCTGCGACTTGCGTGCGAAGCACAGTCAAGATGGGAATTGCAACGAGTGCGATTTGGGATGAATATGGCGTGGTCATGCCAAAAATATCAGCTAGAGCGCAGCAGCAATCTCTGTTTCCTCATGTGCGTGGCCTGGTCTTGTGGGACTTCGAAGCTGTAGCCTCTTCGACTCTCAGCAGACACTGCAAGTAACATCTTCATCGCTGATTGCCGGCCACTCCAGTACCCGTGCACTCCTTGACAGCTTGCTTAATTGAGAGAGTCAGTTCTTGAACCACTATAATGGAAGATCTGCCGCATACAGAGATGGTCTTGGATTGGGCTTGAGCTGGAATATTTTGGCCGACGACCTCCGCGTTGCTTTGCACTCTGGCTTTCTGAAGAGAAGAGACACACTCTCAGGGGTCGTTACATGAGTTCAGATGCTCAAGCGCGATGCCCCAGACAAATACATGGCGTGTCAGTGGCAATTATAAAAAATCAGCAACTTGAGGGGTCACGACTTACCGTTGGCGTGCGTGTTTCGAGGAGACGATTTAGGGATAAGCATGCTTTTGCGCATGTCCTTCCAGGTCTTGCCTAAAGTTTCCGCCAATCTCTGTGACACCGACTGTCCCTTGTATCTAGGACATGCGGCTGGGGCCTTTGGGTTCCGGCACAGTATGAGGGACTCCGTTCTACGAGAGCAAACGCGCGCAGTCCTCGCTTTGGGGGTACAGTACGCGGTGGGAAGAAATGCGACTATGAGCTATAAATGCTAGTATCTTATACGGTTCGAGATGCTGTTGCACAGCTATTGTTTGTACCGAGCTTCAATATGATGTGCTAATCGTCCGCTCCTTGCCCGCTCAGCTACGGTTGGTGCAGCGGTTGGGTCTGTCGGGTAGGGCAGCGGCTTCGTGTTTGAGTCTGGGTGCAGCCAGTCAATTAACTTGTGTCACTCCCTAATTGTATTTCTCGGATAACATCTTACGTGTTTATAGCATCTTATCTGTATACAGTTTTATATGCGACTAACATGAGGAATCTTTTTTTTAACGATTGTCAAGTGCGAGATGCGAGGTCTTTATTCTTTGTAAAGCAAGTAAGGGTTTGGTGAGGTCGATGCTCAATTTTGTGTACTGCACTCAAGGCCACTTCCTCGAACCTAGTTCAATAATCCTGTGTTCCTTCTGCTTCTTAACATTGGGATGGTACACACTTCGGATCCGGACTTGAAATACTGTTACCTAATGTATGAAGGCTGAATCTCTGTCGGCTTTTGGACCCCTGCTCAAAATCTTAAAACCCTCGAGATCCATGTGGAAAATCTTAGGTCCATCGGAGTCTTGTTCCCCTAGAAATTCTTAGGGTTAGGGGAAGGCAAAACCACTCGCTTTCATCCTTCCTAACCCAAATCCAACGCTTTCCTCGTTCCATACAATAATCCGAATCCACCTCTACTCTCACTTGATCAACCCCCAACCTCCCCATCCCCATATCTAAACCAGATCCCTTTCCATCTAACCCATCACAAGTTCCCTCCCCAGTATCCGTCCTATATTTTCGTCCCAACTGCCACCCCCAGGTGCAATACCTTCTCTTCTCTATTCCCTCTCGCCATGCATATTCTATTCCATTCTATTTTAGTCTATTCTATTCTATGCTATTCTAGTAGCAATCTATTCTGGTAGCGTTCGATTTCTCTACCCTATGCCCATTATTTCCCATCTCTGCTTTTCTTTCTTACTCCACACTCTACTCATCTCACTCCCCACACATCAACCACTTCCATACACCCTCCCTCAGATACCCCAGAACGTCCAACCAGCCCATGTCCCAGTCCTCAATTTCCTCCTTCAACAATACTGCCCTCTTCTCCCAAAGCCGTATCCAGTCACCACCCACCCAGCACCTTACCAGTCATTCCTAGCACTCCCCCTTCTCTCCCTCCTTGGCCTCCAATACATCCCATCCCTACTTTCCCTTCCTACCTCTCCTATATTCTCCCATACCTTCATCCAAAGAACCTAACAATCTCAATATACATTCATCATCTCAGCAGTTTATCCCCGTCTGACAGCAACGATCATCTTCCCCTCTACACTTTCTTTCCATCTCTATAAGCTAATTTTCTACTAACTAACACCAACCTCTCGCCCACAGCTTTGCATTGGCCATGTTCAGCTCAAAATTTAAACTCCTCAACCCTCCAAATACCCAGTTTCATTCGGTTAATCGTCCCTCCGCTATTCTCCTCATACCCTGCGCAAGTAGGTGCCTAGAACGTGAGGTGAAGCGTAGAAACATGGGTTCGTCCATGAGTCGAAACGACCAAACACCTATCCTCACAAGCCCCACCTTTCCTGTCGTAGACTTGTTCCCTAAGTTGGGCCCATCCAATATACCAAAAGTCTCCAAGAAATGCTTCTTCCCGATATAAATCTTCACAACACTTCCACTTTCCTCTCCCGCTCGTCTTTCAAATGTGCCATCTGCGGCTCTGGCAGCTGCGCCAGCCAAAGGGATGATGAGCGTAGCATCATTCCGTCCTGCTAGACCGATTTACTCAAACGACGGAGACATTATAGTACTCGTGCTGCATCGTCTCTTTGTGCTTTTGCCTTTCCCAAATCAGTTATTTGCTCGTCGCCACAGGAACGGCAGTGGCAGCGCCGCCGAAACCATCAATGGCAACGGCGTTGGCTTGCACACATCAGTAATCCAGCAACTGCAGCAGCAGAAAGCATGGATCTCGTCTCTCATCAAATGGCACACACTCTTCAACACAGCCTTCAACTGCTTCCTCAGCCTTGACATGCTCTCGACAATGGCGCGACTCAGCCACATTGTGTTCGATAGCCACGACAGTGGATGGCTCTTCAAGACAGAGGTTTGGCAAAGAAGCTGTAAATACAAGCGCGAACGTGGAAAGCAACACTAGGACTTGGCTAATAAGCTTTGGCCATCAGCGACCTAAGAGCATCGATATTCGTAGGCAAGCCCAGGAGGCATGGGCAGGCAACGCTTTACAGCGGCAACGTTCTTCAGTCGCAGGAAAACTAGTAGCAGGGCGTAGCATCAATGGTATGCTCGCGCGGCAAGTGTCAGCGACGTGCGAGGTGATAGTGCGGCCATGAACCACGACGTAAGGCCTGGACAGCCGGCTGAGAGACGCGAAAGTACTGCTGGATATTAGTTCTAGAAGGACTTTCTCGCGCGGAGAAGGCCTGGGTAGCATCGGCGGATGCGCAAGAGGCTCGTTAGACAATTTTTCAGTCGCTGTAAGAAGCGAAGCATTCCACTTTGGCGACGCGCCCATCGAGTTCTTAAGCGATCCGGAGCCGCTCGTCATCGAAGCTCGTCCCAATTGTTATGTCAAATCGTTACCATCAACAGCGATTGAAAGCAAAACTAGGTCTTCAACTAGCAGCGCTGTTTCATTTGACTTTGATGTGACAGCTGGCGTCAGACTCAGCAACAGCTATGGAAACGGCGTTTTGATGAAAGGCCGGCCATGCGAGTGATACAGTTTCGGCTGCAGTGATAGAGGTAAATGAGCTGAGGATATACTTCAGGCTCAGACTTAGCTCATCTGCATCGACGCCTGACAGTCCAGGTTTGGGCATGTCATTAGGAATGATCTACAGTTCAACTGTGACAGCATCGCGCAGTCTGTCCGAAAGACACAACGAGAGCAGCAGCAACAGGGTCTAGGATATGTGCTCTTCTGATGCGCGAACTCCTTGCGCTCTCGTTTTGGGTAAATAGCATCGACCTCCATTTTTCTCGTCGGCGGGCAACTTTAGCAAGGGCCAATACTCGTCATCTCAATAGCAATCACCATGTTTTTAAAAGGCCAAGATAAGTCTATGAGAACGCTAGCCGATTACCTTAGTGCGCGCCTCAAGCAGCTCTCCATCATTTGCACCCAATGAGTGCCAGGCGACCATTCGCTCGGCCTGCTTTCCCAGTTTCTTGACAATGGCCTGCTATGGAACTGCAACGCGAATGAGCTCAATGTTGTGTATAGCGGTGATGGTCTCGTTAGGACATTGGGCAGCAAAAGACCCAGGGTGATGGCGACCACTATGGGTGTAGGCCAGTACTTTAGTACCTCTTTTCAGCGACGAGATGATCAATGTGATTAGGCTGAACCCGACGAATCAATGACATTCGCAAGCAGCTGGCTGCCATTCGAAGGGTATCACTGTGATTCACATCGTAGGCACTCTTTCCACAGTCGATCAGTCTGCTGGCAAGCTCCTGCATCACACACTAGAAATGAGCTGATCATTTTCGAGGATACCACTGCAGGTACATGAAGTCGATGATGTCGCTAGCTCATGTGGCCTCCATAATTCGCACTTTCATCTGTATCCTCATTTTTACAGGGGACCACAAATTTGACGCCTTTGCGCAAATGTCATGCCAAATTACAACTGCGCAGCTCGACTTTGCGACGCTCAAGCGTGAGGATAGAATGCAATTTTCTTCCGAACAGTATGGGCCAGGGGGTGACGCAGGTGGATTTGTGGCCCGTGGCGGGGAAGATGCCTCGAGAGAGATTGACTGGGAGCTTGAAGTTTGCGTTAGACGGGTGAGTAGAGCAGAGCTGCGTAAATTTGGGTCGCAGGACAGAGTCGTTAGGTGCCAACAGCCGGATCAGATATGCGACCATCATCGCGGAAACAACAACGATTGGTAGGATGGAGTTGGACAAGGACTGCTGCTGAAGCAGTGGAAGCATTTTGGATTACGTGTTCATGTATCCATGCTTGATTAGTTGACTATTGACTAGTTCACCTCGTGAGTCGGAGAGCCAGGCACATGAATTGCAATTCTTCACGGTACTAATTCACCTGGAAAATGGAAAGCGCCATTACTACCTCCCTGGTGTTGGTGGCCGCAGCCTCAAAAGCAGTGCTGTCTGCTACCCAGACATCCGCTTGGCGCATCTTGCCGAATGACGCCATCCAACTTGGTTATACAACGCTTGCGCATTGCAAGAGACGCACTCTGGGTGTGATTCGTTTGGACATCGAGGGTGTTCCACAGGGCGTGTCAGTCGTAGAGACCGATGCTATAGGCGGCGGCACGGTTCGTAGCATGATGAACGAGGGTTCAGGCTATGACCCTAGTGAGACGAGCTCTTCAGCCGGCGGACCTGGCGAACATTACTGCGTGGCAACTTCGGCATTTGATATTCTTGTCTCTGCAAATGAGACTGGTACTATGCCCTAGAGCGACAATAATATTTCCCGGGCGAACTAAGAATTGAATGCCGGCGGACGTCTTGCTTTTAGTAAATACAATGGTAAAAAACAGATCGCAAGGGGTTCCTTGAACTCCTAAGGTTTGAAAAAGTCGCCGGATTCACCCTCCTTAAGCTTAAACTTCCATATGGCGGCGAGCGGCGCGTCACGAGGGTTAGGGGGGTTTGCACAAGAAAGTCCGAACTCGTCTCGTCGAGGGGCGCCGTGATGGTTTGGAGCAGGGACATCTTAGGGTTAGGGATAGGGTTAGGGTTAGGGATAGGGATAGGGATAGGGATAGGGTTAGGGTTAGGGTTAGGGTTAGGGTTAGGGTTAGGGTTAGGGTTAGGGTTAGGGTTAGGGTTAGGGTTAGGGTTAGGGTTAGGGTTAGGG